TTCTTGCTACTTTGCAAACGCTATGCCCTTGTTCTTTTTAATTTGAACACACTAGGCCCTTGTTCTTGCTATTTCGCGAACGCTAGGCCCTTCTTCTTGATTTTTTGCACACGCTAGGCCCTTGCTCTTGCTATTTTGCACTCGCTAGGCCCTTGTTCTTGCAATTTTGCACACGTTAGGCCCTTATTCTTGCAATTTTGCATAGGCTAGGCCCTTGTTCTTTTTATTTTGCACATGCTAGGCCCTCGTTCTTTTTATTTTGCACCACTATGCCTTTGTTCTTGCTATTTTGCACACGCTATGCCCTTGTTCTTTTTGTTTTGCACACGCTAGGCCCTTGCTCTTGCTATTTTGCACTCGCTAGGCCCTTGTTCTTGCAATTTTGCACACGCTAGGCCCTTGTTCTTGCAATTTTGCACATGCTAGGCCCTTGTTCTTGCTATTTTGCACACGCTAGGCCCTTGTTCTTTTTATTTTGCACACGCTAGGCCCTTGTTCTTGCTATTTTGCACTCGCTATGCCCTTGTTCTTTTTATTTTGCACACGCTAGGCCCTTGTTCTTGCAAATTTGCACATGCTAGACCCTTGTTCTTTTCATTTTGCACACGCTAGGCCCTTGTTCTTGCGGCTTCGTGAACGCTAGGCCCTTGTTCTTGATTTTTCGCACACGCTAGGCCCTTGCTCTTGCTATTTTGCACTCGCTAGGCCCTTGTTCTTGCAATTTTGCACACGCTAGGCCCTTGTTCTTGCAATTTTGCACATGCTAGGCCCTTGTTGTTTTTATTTTGCACACGCTAGGCCGTTGTTCTTGCTATTTTGCACTCGCTATGCCCTTGTTCTTTTTATTTTGCACACGCTAGGCCCTTGTTCTTGCAAATTTGCACATGCTAGACCCTTGTTCTTTTCATTTTGCACACGCTAGGCCCTTGTTCTTGCAGCTTCGCGAACGCTAGGCCCTTGTTCTTGTTTTTTTGCACATGCTAGGCCCTTGCTCTTGCTATTTTGCACTCGCTAGGCCCTTGTTCTTGCAATTTTGCACACGCTAGGCCCTTGTTCTTGCAATTTTGCACACGCTAGGCCCTTGTTCTTTTTATTTTGCACACGCTAGGCCCTTGTTCTTTTTATTTTGCACACGCTATGCCCTTGTTCTTTTTATTTTGCACACGCTAGGCCCTTGTTCTTGCAATTTTGCACACGCTATGCCCTTGTTCTTTTTATTTTGCACATGCTAGGCCCTTGTTCTTGCAATTTTGCACATGCTAGGTCCTTGTTCTTTTTATTTTGCTCACGCTAGGCCCTTGTTCTTGCTATTTCGCGAACGCTAGGCCCTTGTTCTTGATTTTTTGCACACGCTAGGCCCTTGCTCTTGCTATTTTGCACTCGCTAGGCCCTTGTTCTTGCAATTTTGCACACGCTAGGCCCTTGTTCTTGCAATTTTGCACACGCTAGGCCCTTGTTCTTATTATTTTGCACACGCTAGGCCCTTGTTCTTTTTATTTTGCACACGCTATGCCCTTGTTCTTTTTATTTTGCACACGCTAGGCCCTTGTTCTTGCAATCTTGCACATGCTAGACCCTTGTTCTTTTTATTTTGCACACGCTAGGCCCTTTTCTTGCTATTTCGCGAACACAAGGCCCTTGTTCTTGTTTTTTTGCACACGCTAGGCCCTTGCTCTTGCTATTTTGCACTCGCTAGGCCCTTGTTCTTGCAATATTGCACTCGCTAGGCCCTTGTTCTTGCAATTTTGCACACGCTAGGCCCTTGTTCTTTTTATTTTGCACACGCTAGGCCCTTGTTCTTATATTTTGCACATGCTAGGCCCTTGTTCTTGCTATTTTGCACACGCTATGCCCTTGTTCTTTTTATTTTGCACACGCTAGGCCCTTATTCTTGCAATTTTGCACATGCTAGACCCTTGTTCTTTTTATTTTGCACATGCTAGGCCCTTGTTCTTGCTATTTCGCGAACGCTAGGCCCTTGTTCTTGATTTTTTGCACACGCTAGGCCCTTGCTCTTGCTATTTTGCACTCGCTAGGCCCTTGTTCTTGCAATTCTGCACACGCTAGGCCCTTGTTCTTGCAATTTTGCACACGCTAGGCCCTTGTTCTTGCTATTTTGCACACGCTAGGCCCTTGTTCTTTTTATTTTGCACACGCTAGGCCCTTGTTCTTGCTATTTTGCACACGCTATGCCCTTGTTCTTTTTATTTTGCACACGCTAGGCCCTTGCTCTTGCTATTTTGCACTCGCTAGGCCCTTGTTCTTGCAATTTTGCACACGCTAGGCCCTTGTTCTTGCAATTTTGCACATGCTAGGCCCTTGTTCTTGCTATTTTGCACACGCTAGGCCCTTGTTCTTTTTATTTTGCACACGGTAGGCCCTTGTTCTTGCAATTTTGCACATGCTAGACCCTTGTTCTTTTTATTTTGCACAAGCTAGGCCCTTGTTGTTGCTATTTCGCGAACGCTAGGCCCTTGTTCTTGAGTTTTTGCACACGCTAGGCCCTTGCTTGCTATTTTGCACTCGCTAAGCCCTTGTTCTTGTAATTTTGCACATGCGAGGCCCTTGTTCTTGCAATTTTGCAAACGCTAGGCCCTTGTTCTTGCAATTTTGCACACGCTAGGCCCTTGTTCTTTTTATTTTGCACACGCTAGGCCCTTGTTCTTGCTATTTTGCACACGCTATGCCCTTGTTCTTTTTATTTTGCACACGCTAGGCCCTTGTTCTTGCAATTTTGCACATGCTAGACCCTTGTTCTTTTTTTTGCACACGCTAGGCCCTTGTTGTTGCTATTTCGCGAACGCTAGGCCATTGTTGTTGAGTTTTTGCACACGCTAGGCCCTTGCTTGCTATTTTGCACTCGCTAAGCCCTTGTTCTTGTAATTTTGCACATGCCAGGCCCTTGTTCTTGCAATTTTGCAAACGCTAGGCCCTTGTTCTTTTTATTTTGCACATGCTAGGCCCTTGTTCTTTTTATTTTGCACACGCTAGGCCCTTGTTCTTGCTATTTTGCACACGCTATGCCCTTGTTCTTTTCATTTTGCACACGCTAGGCCCTTGTTCTTGCAATTTCGCGAACGCTAGGCCCCTGTTCTTGATTTTTTGCATACGCTAGGCCCTTGCTCTTGCTATTTTTCACTCGCTAGGCCCTTGTTCTTGCAATTTTGCACACGCTAGGCCCTTGTTTTTGCAATTTTGCGCACGCTAGGCCCTTGTTCTTTTTATTTTGCACACGCTAGGCCCTTGTTCTTTTTATTTTGCACACGCTATCCCCTTGGTGCATCGGCCAGTCTGGCCGGCATTTCGCACTCATAGTGCAGGTGGGGCCAGGGAGAACGGGAACGCTCGTTTCTCAAAAAGTAGAGGGAATCTAACGGTCTCACTCGATCAGAAGGTGGGAAATATATAAATCTAGTCAGCTAAAAAGGTTTGAAATGTATTCAGCGCACATGTATAGAGAAAATGGTGGATTGGCCAGGTCGGTCAGTATCGGAACTTAAAATGCAAATGCCAGGGAGAACGGAAGCGCTCAGATCTCGCATAGTACACGGAATCAAGTAGTCTCACTCAAATACGGAAAGTAGGAAATATCTTCATCTAGTGAACGTAAGGGTTTGAAAGGTAACTAACGCACATGTGTAGAGAAAATGGTGCATCGGCCAGTCTGGCCGGCATTTCGCACTCATAGTGCAACTAGGGCCAGGGAGAACGGAAACGCTCGTTTCTCAAAAAGTAGAGGGAATCTAACGGTCTCACTCGATCAGTAGGTGGGAAATATATAAATCTAGTCAGCTAAAAAGGTTTGAAATGTATTCAACGCACATGTATAGAGAAAATGGTGCATTGGCCAGGCCGGTCAGTATCGGAACTTCAAATGCAAATGCTAGGGAGAACGGAAGCGCTCAGATCTCGCATCGTACACGGAATCTAGTGGTCTCACTCAAATAGAAGGTAGGAAATAAATTCATCTAGTGAACGTAAGGGTTTGAAAGGTAACTAACGCACATGTGTAGAGAAAATGGTGCATCGGCCAGTCTGGCCGGCATTTCGCACTTATAGTGCAAGTAGGGCCAAGGAGAACGGAAACGCTCATTTCTAAAAAAGTAAAGGGAATCTAGCAGTCTCACTCGATCAGAAGGTGGGAAATATATAAATCTAGTGAGCTTATAAGGTTCAGAAGGAATCTAATGCATATGTATATAGAAAGTGGTGCATTGGCCAGGTCGGTCTGTATGGGAACTTTGAGTGCAAATGCCTGGGAGAACGGAACTGCTCAGATTTCGCATAATACACGGAATCTAGTGGTCTCACTCAAATATAAGGTAGGAAATAAATTGATCTAGTGAACGTAAGGGTTTGAAAGGTAACTAATGCACATGTGTAGAGAAATTGGTGCATCGGCCAGTCTGGCCGGCATTTCGCACTCATAGTGCAGGTGGGGCCAGGTAGAACGGAAACGCTCGTTTCTCAAAAAGTAGAGGGAATCTAACGGTCTCACTCGATCAGAAGGTGGGAAATATATAAATCTAGTCAGCTAAAAAGGTTTGAAATGTATTCAACGCACATGTATAGAGAAAATGGTGCATTGGCCAGGTCGGTTAGTATCGGAACTTAAAATGCAAATGCTAGGGAGAACGGAAGAGCTCAGATCTCGCATAGTACACGGAATCAAGTGGTCTCACCCAAATAGAAAGTAGGAAATATATTCATCTAGTGAACATAAGGGTTTGAAAGGTAACTAACGCACATGTGTAGAGAAAATTGTGCATTTCGGCCAGTCTGGCCGGCATTTCGCACTGATAGTGCAACTAGGGCCAAGGAGAACGGAAACGCTTATTTCTCAAAAAGTAGAGGGAATCTAGCGGTCTCACTCGATCAGAAGGTGGGTAATATATAAATCTAGTGAGCTAAAAAGGTTTGAAAGGAATCTAATGCATATGTATATGGAAAATGGTGCATTGGCCAGGTCGGTCAGTATTGGAACTTCGAGTGCAAATGACATGGACGTGGTCGTGGACGTGGACGTGGACGTGGACATGGACATGGACATGGACGTGGACATGGACGTGGACGTCGACATGGACGTGGACGTGGACGTGGACGTGGACGTGGACATAGACGTGGACGTGGACGTGGACGTGGTCGTGGACGTGGACGTGGACGTGGACGTGGACGGGGACGTGGACGTGGACGTGGACGTGGACCAGGACGTGGACATGGACGTGGACGCGGACATGGACGTGGACATGGACGTGGACGTGGACTTGGACGTGGACGTGGACGTGGTCGTGGACGTGGTCGTGGACGTGGACGTGGACATGGACGTGGACGTGGACGTGGACGTGGACGTGGACGTGGACATGGACGTGGACGTGGACATGGACGTGGACATGGACAAAGACGTGGACGTGGACGTGGACGTGGACGTGGACGTGGACGTGGACATGGACGTGGACGTGGACGTGGACGTGGACGTGGACATGGACGTAGACGTGGACGTGAACGTGGACGTGGACATGGACGTAGACGTGAACGTGGACGTGGACATGGACGTGGACGTGGACGTGGACCTGGACGTGGACGTGGACGTGGTCGTGGACGTGGACGTGGACTGTGGACATGGACGTGGACGTAGACGTGGACGTGGACGTAGACGTGGTCGTGGACGTGGTCGTGGACGTAGACGTGGACGTGGACATGGTCGTGGACGTGGAGGTGGACGTGGACCTGGACGTGGACGTGGACGTGGACGTTGACGTGGAGGTGGACCTGGACGTGGACGTGGACGTGGACCTGTACGTTGACGTGGACGTGGACTTGGACGTGGACGTAGACGTGGACGTGGACGTGGACGTGGACGTGGACATGGAGGTGGACATGGACGTGGAGGTGGACGTGGACGTGGACGTGGACGTGGACGTGGACGTGGACATAGACGTGGACGTGGACGTGGAGGTGGACATGGACGTGGACATGGACGTGGACATGGACGTGGACGTGGACATGGACATGGACATGAACATGGACGTGGACATGGACGTGGACGTGGACATGAACGTGGACGTGGACATGGACGTCGACATAGACGTGGACGTGGCCATGGACGTGGACGTGGACATGGACATAGACGTGGACGTGGACTTGCACATAGACATGGACGTGGACGTGGACGTGGACGTGGACGTGGACATGGACGTGGACGTGGACGTGGACGTGGACATGGACGTGGACGTGGACGTGGAGGACTTGGACGTGGACATGGACGTGGACGTGGACGTTGACGTGGACGAAGACATGGTCGTGGACGTGGACGTGGACGTGGACATGGACGTGGACGTGGACGTGGACGTGGACGTGGACATGGACGTGGACGTAGACGTGGACCTGGACGTGGACGTGGACGTGGACGTGGTCGTGGACGTGGACGTGGACGTGGACATGGTCGTGGACGTGGACATGGACGTGGAGGACATGGACGTGGACATGGACGTGGACATGGACGTGGACATGGACGTGGACATGGACGTGGACGTGGACGTGGAGGACTTGGACGTGGACATGGACGTGAACGTGGACGTGGACGTGGACGAAGACGTGGTCGTGGACGTGGACGTGGACGTGGACGTGGACGTGGAGGTGGACGTGGACGTGGACGTGGACGTGGACGTGGACGTGGACGTGGACGTGGACTGGACGTGGACGTGGACGTGGACGTGGACGTGGACCTGGTCGTGGACGTGGACAGTGGACGTGGACCTGGTCGTGGACGTGGACGTGGACGTGGACATGGACGTGGACGTGGACGTGGACGTGGACGTGGTCGTGGACGTGGACGTGGACGTGGACGTGGACCTGGACGTGGACGTGGACGTGGCATGGACGTGGACGTGGACGTGGACGTGGACGTGGACATGGACGTGGACGTGGACGTGGCATGGACGTGGACGTGGACGTGGACCTGGACCTGGACGTGGACGTGGACGTGGCATGGACGTGGACGTGGACGTGGACATGGACGTGGACATGGACGTGGACATGGACGTGGACGTGGACGTGGAGGACTTGGACGTGGACATGGACGTGAACGTGGACGTGGACGTGGACGAAGACTTGGTCGTGGACGTGGACGTGGACGTGGACGTGGACGTGGAGGTGGACGTGGACGTGGACGTGGACGTGGACATGGACGTGGACGTGGACGTGGACGTGGACGTGGACGTGGACTGGACGTGGACGTGGACGTGGACGTGGACCTGGTCGTGGACGTGGACGTGGACGTGGACCTGGTCGTGGACGTGGACGTGGACGTGGACATGGACGTGGACGTGGACGTGGACGTGGTCGTGGACGTGGACGTGGACGTGGACCTGGACGTGGACGTGGACGTGGCATGGACGTGGACGTGGACGTGGACGTGGACGTGGACGTGGACATGGACATGGACGTGGACGTGGACGTAGACATGGACATGGACGTGGACGTGGACGTGGACGTGGACATGGACGTGGACCTGGACGTGGAGGTGGACGTGGACGTGGACGTGGAGGTGGACATGCACGTGGAGGTGGACGTGGACGTGGACATGGACGTGGACGTGGACGTGGACGTGGACGTGGACATGGACAAGGACGTGGACGTGGACGTAGACATGGACATGGACGTGGACATGGACGTGGACCTGGACGTGGACGTGGACGTGGACGTGGACATGGACGTGGACGTGGACATGGACGTGGACATGGACGTGGACGTGGACGTGGACATGGACGTGGACATGGACGTGGACATGGACGTGGACATGGACGTGGACGTGGACATGGACGTGGACATGGACGTGGACGTGGACGTGGACATGGACGTGGACGTGGACGTGGACGTGGATATGGACGTGAACATGGACGTGGACGTGGACATGGACGTGGACGTGGACGTGGACGTGGACGTGGACGTGGACATGGACGTGGACGTGGACGTGGACGTGGACGTGGACGTGGACGTAGACATGGACGTGGACGTGGACGTGGACGTGGAGAACTTGGACGTGGACATGGACGTGGACGTGGACGTGGACGTGGACGTGGAGAACTTGGACGTGGACATGGACGTGAACGTGGACGTGGACGTGGACGTGGACGTGGAGGACTTGGACGTGGACATGGACGTGGGCGTGGACGTGGACATGGACGTGGACGTGGACATGGACGAGGACGTGGACGAGGACGTGGACATGGACGTCGACGTGGACATGGACGTGGACGTAGACATGGACGTGGACGTGGACGTGGACGTGGACGTGGACATGGAGGTGGACGTGGACGTGGACGTGGAGGTGGACATGGACGTGGAGGTGGACGTGGACGTGGACGTGGACGTGGACCTGGACGTGGACGTGGACGTGGACGTGGACGTTGACGTGGAGGTGGACGTGGAGGTGGACATGGACGTCGACGTGGACGTGGACGTGGACATGGACGTGGACATGGACGTGGACGTGGACGTGGACGTGGACGTGGACGTGGACATGGACGTGGACGTGGACGTGGACGTGGACGTCGACGTCGACGTGGACGTGGACGTGGACATGGACATGGACGTGGACGTGGACGTGGACATGGACGTGGTCGTGGACGTGGACAGGGACGTGGACGTTGTGAGAATAAGCGAACAGGGAATGAATGAACTAGCAGTGAAATGAGTACAAATAGTAAACCCTAGAATTGTGTACCCCCTATAGGCTAACCCACTGTAGCCTACACAAGCATAACATATATAATGTTTGACACACCCCCTTAGGCAAAGTGGGGGAGAACAAGGGGTTACAAGACCAGTCAAGCAAAGCAAAGCAAGCTCAGGGTGGATCACAAAGTCACCACACAGTCCGAGCACAAGAGCAGGGCCAGAGGCCAGTTCACATGCAGGAGTACGGACGTATATATAAAACTAGACAAGCAAGAGCAGGTATATATATGTCACAGTACAAGTAAAGTCAAGAGGAGAGCAAGTGAGGCAAGACAGGCACAAGACCCAGCTGGATGCAAAAGCGCTGATGGTCACAAGGCGCGAGTGCCTTGGTGAACACATCAGCAGTGTTGGCCTCAGAGGCCACGTACGCAAGTCGCAACTGACCACGCTGCTGCAGCTCACGAGCAAGGAAGTAGCGGAGAGCAATGTGCTTCGTTCTGTGCTCCAAGCGCTGCTCTCGACACAAGGCCAGCATGGCCTTGTTGTCTACGTACAGCACTGGAGGAGAACGAGGCGGCTCTCCGAGGTCAGTCAGCAGGTAGGTGAGCCAGCGAAGCTCCTGTGCAGCCATGGCCCCGGCGTAGATCTCAGCCTCACAACTGGAGCGGAGAACCGAAGACGAACGAGTAGACCGCCAGGAAACAGAGCCGGAACCAAGACTGAAGGTGTAACCCTGTGACGACCGCTGCTTAGCCTGGTCGTCAGCCCAAGAAGCGTCCGCGTGGCCTATAAGGACCACTGGACTCCGCCCTCCAAGCACTAGCCCCATGCCCGACGTACTGCACAGGTAGCGCAATACCCTCTTCGCTGCAGCCATGTGCTCTGGTCGGTGTCTCCCACGAGCAACATAGCGTGCAAGAATGCTCAGAGGGTATGCAAGGTCAGGTCGTGTGCAGGTCATCAGGTACATGAGGCAGCCAACAAGCTCTGGGTACGGGCCACTCGACTCTACGGACTCATCCGAAGGCAGAGCTGAGAGCGAGTGACGAGTAGACAGAGGAGTGGCCTGAGGCGAGGAGTACGTGAAGCCGAAGCGCTGAAGGACCTGCTGCACCATGTGTGACTAAGTCAAGGTAATGGTGCGGCGTGCTCTGTCCCGAGTGATCTGCAAGCCAAGGTAGCTGCGCAGTTCACCCAGGTCTGTGCACGTGTGTCTCTTCAGCAGCTCGGACTTCACGTAGGCGAGTCCAGCAGTGTCCGCTGTGGCAAAGACCAAGCCCTCGACGTACACGAGGATGTAGAACGGCGGCAGTGAAGTGTCGGTGCGCAGAAACAGCGACGGGTCAGCAGTAGACGGAGCAAACCCAAGAGCCGCAAGCGTAGTCCTCAGTGTGTCGTGCCACTCACGCGGTGCCTGGCGGAGACCGTAGACTGGCCGTCGGAGGCTCCACTGGGTGCCAGGAGGGAAAGTCCCAGTGAAGCCAGGCGGACGGTGCAGCCAGATCTCCTCGTGCAGGCTACCCTGCAGGAACGCAGTGCTGAAGTCGAGAGAGTGAAGCTCGTAGTCGCGCTGAGCGGCTATGTGCAGCAGCACCCGAAGAGTGGTCATCTTCGGGGTGGGAGAGAAGGTCTGAAAGTAGTCAACTCCCTGCCGCTGACTGAAGCCACGAGCAACGTACCGCGCCTTGAAGACAGGTGGAGAGCCTGGCGGCCGCTTCACCCTGAAGATCCACATGCCACTGACGATGTTCGCCCCGGAAGGGGGAACTGCGTCAACGTAGGTGCCTGTGGACTTCCAGGAAGCCGTCTCTGCATCCATAGCTGCCTGCCACTGAGAGGAGTAGGGACCCTCTACGGCCTCCGCGTAAGAGCACGGAGTTGGGATGTCTAGTGCATCCGGGTCTCCCTCAGGAGCAAGCAGTACAGACGCGAGATGAGGTGAAGCGGCCGCTAGACACTGTAACTCCTCCTGCCTGTCCTCTAGGACATCCGTGCCAAGAGCACACTCACCCCCGACGGACGGAGGACAGACAGACGCAGACTCAGTAATAAGACTAGCAGCGTAGTCTAGACGACAGCGAGCAGCAAAGTCGACGAGCTCAGCGACAAGAGCAGACGCAGCAGTGGACTCAAAAGAGGGGTCAGTGACGACAGTAGCAAGCAGACGCGTGACAGTGGGACTGGCAGCACGAAGGGAGTCCGACTCAGGGTCGGCAGGCGCAGGAAGAGAGGACTCAGGAGGAGAAGGCAAAGGGGCACGCAGAGGAGCAGTGGACGGACGCAGAGACATCCAGTGCATGCCAGGGACAGGAGGAGGACGCTGACGCGAACTGCGACCACTAGCACGAGCAGCACGAACAGGCGACGTGGGACGGGACGCAGGCTCACGACGCTCAGCAAGACCTCCAGTAGGACCAGTGTAAGGAGAGGGAGCAGGCAGTGGAGAGGACGGCTCCAACAGGGACTGCGACTGGACCGGCTGTGGACCCTCTACTGAAGGAGAAAGACCAAGAACCTGCTGCAGGAGCGGAACGAAGTACGGCCGAGGCCGCGCGGCAGCTCCAGACTCAGCAGGGACAGCACCAGCACCCTCAGCGTCAGCACCAGCGCCACCCACACCTCCAGCTCCAACACCCTCAGCAACTCCAGCTCCAGGAGGACCCGCAGGTCCAGCAGCTCCGGGACCGGCAGCACCCGCACCCTCGACGGTCGAAGAAGCTCCAACTCCAGCTCCAGCAGCACCCCCAGACTCAGCAGCACGCCTCCAGCGGCGAGCGAACCACTCGCGCAGCTCCTGTGGAGAGAGGGGCTCCCGGCGAGACGCAGCAGCAGGAGAAACCCCAGGCTCAGCAGCTCCAGACGCAGCACCCCCAGGCTCAGCAGCTCCCAGCTCAGCACCCCCAGGCTCAGCTTCACTCGACCCAGCACCCCCAGACCCAGCACCTCCAGGCACAGCACCCCCCGGCTCAGCACCCCCAGGCTCCGCACCCTCCACAGTAGCGCCCACAGGCCCAGCACCCCCAGGCGCAGCACCTCCAGGCCCAGCACCCTCGCGCACAGCACCCCGAGAGTCAGCACCCCCAGGCTCAGCACCCGCAGCAGCACCAGAGTCACCAGTAACCTCGACCGGGTCAACTGCGTCTACCTGGGACACACCTGAAAGGGCAGGAACCTGAGGGGGGAGGGGGTCTACCGGGGAAGGAACCAGGACAAGGAAGTCCGGTGGAGGGGGGAGGGAAGGAGTGCGGTAGGGGAAGAGGCGGTAGAAGGGGACTGACTCGTCGAACGTGACGTCCTAGGAGGACAAAACACGACGAGAGGAGGGGTGGTAAAACTGCCACCCTGGAGCGTCAGTGGGGAAGCCAAGGAAGACACAGGGAGCAGCACGAGGGGACAGCTTGTCCGCTGACAAGTCGCGGACAAACGCCCGAGATCCCCAGACACGGAACGCCAACGCATCGCCAACCTTCCCCGTCCACAGTAAGACTGGGGACATCGCGGGCCGAGAGACCTGGGGGTGAAGGTTGAGCTGATGCGCCGCGTACCTCACCGCAAACGGCCACAGAAAATGGGGGGCAGCCGCATGCATCATGGACGTACGAGCGACATCCATGACCATGCCAATGCGGCGCTCAGCAATCCCATTTTGCTGTGGAGAGTCCGGAAGCGTGAAGGTCTGGCGGATCCCCCGTGCACGACAGTAGTCTCGCAGAAGGCGAGAGGAGAACTCTCCGCCTCTGTCCGAGTGCAGACGTAGAACAGGGAAGTCCGAGCCAAAGCTCTGCCTGAGCTGGAGACGAGCCGTGCTGATCCAGTCGATCAGCACCTCAGTGACAGCACCCTTGCTGCGCAAGGGGAGGACTGTGGTGTACCGCGAGTAATCGTCAACCACCAACAGGAAGTAGCGCTCGTAACCCTGCCCACGGACGGGGGCTGGGCCCCACACATCCATGTGAAGCGTCTGCAGAGGAGCCTCTGTCGGGGGGAACTGGGAGGAGTGAGGAGTAGCCCGGAGGCGACCCTCGACACAGGGGACACAGGAAGGTCCTGGCCCGGAGGGAAGGGGAGGAAGAGACCGGGGCAGACCAGAGACAAGGACACGGGAAGCCATGCTCCGAAGACGGGGCAAGGACGGGTGGCCAAGACGGTGGTGCCACAGGAGAGTCTCATAAGACAGGAGGCGACAAGAACAGGGGGCAGACTCAGGACTTGACCGGGACGCAGCAGCAAGCACCTGACCTGACGCAGCTACCTGACCAGACGCAGGGACAGGAGGAGACGCAGTGGTCAGGGTGTAGAGGCTCGACCCCGGCCGACGTGAGAACGTGGCCAGGTGCCGGCATGTGCGTGCGTCCGTGCAGTGGGTCACCCGCTGACTCGCAGGAGTGAACTGGTGAACCCCCGCATCCTGCAGGTCCGCACCACTCACCAAGTTCGTAGAGAACGAGGGAAGGTACAGTCCTGACAGGGTGCCCGAAGGGGCAGCCGGACACGGGAGGACAGTGGAGAAGTGAGAGAGGACAGGACCCCCAGAGGGGTCAACCAGGGAGACGGCAACCGGCCGACCAAGCGGCGTGAGAGTGGTGCGGTCTCGAAAGAAGGAGCGAGAAGCCCAGGAGTCAAGTGTGAAAGTGAGGGAGGACGAGGACGAGAGCCGGCGGCGGGGCCGTAAGAGAGCCGGCGGCGGGGCCTTGTGAGGGCCGGCGGCGGGGCCGCGTGAGAGCCGGGACGGGGCCGCAAGAGCGCCGGGGCGGGGCCGCGTCAGAGCCGGCGGTGGGGCCTGGTGAGAGCCGGTGCGGGGCCGCGAGAGAGACGGGGCGGGGCCGCTAGAGAGCCGGTGCGGGGCCGCGTCAGGGCCGGCGGCGAGGCCGCGAGAGAGCCGGGGCGGGGCCGCGATCAGGAGGCGGCGGCGGGGCCGCGTCAGAGCCGGCGGCGGGCCGCGATCAGCGGGCGGCGGGGCCGCGTCAGAGCCGGCGGCGGGGCCGCTTCAGTGGAGGCGGCGGGGCCGCGTCAGAGGAGGCGGCGGGGCCGCGTCAAGCAGGCGGCGGGGCCGCGATCAGGAGGGGTGGCGGGCCCGCGTCTGAGGGACAGCGGGGCCGCGAGAGCAATGGCGACCCGAAGGGTTGCGGAAAAAAAAAATGCGCGCCTCGGGGCGCGCTTCGGTGGGCCCTAAAAACAATGGTTCTTAGGAAGGACCCGCTCTATACCATGTGAGAATAAGCGAACAGGGAATGAATGAACTAGCAGTGAAATGAGTACAAATAGTAAACCCTAGAATTGTGTACCCCCTATAGGCTAACCCACTGTAGCCTACACAAGCATAACATATATAATGTTTGACAGACGTGGACGTGGACATGGACGTGGACGTGGACATGGTCGTGGACATGGACGTGGACGTGGACGTGGACGTGGCGATGGACATGGACGTGGACGTGAACGTGGACGTGGACGTGGACAAGGACGTGGACATGGACGTGGACGTGGACGTGGACGTGGACGTGGACATGGACGTGGAGGTGGACGTGACGTGGACGTGGACGTGGACGTGGACGTGACGTGGACCTGACGTGGACGTGGACGTGGACCTGACGTGGACGTGGACGTGGACGTGGACGTGGACATGGACGTGGACGTGGACGTGACGTGGACGTGGACGTGGACGTGGACGTGGACGTGGACATGGACGTGGACGTGGACATGGACATGGACGTGGACGGGGACGTGGACGTGGACGTGGACGTGGACGAGGACGCGGACGCGGACGCGGACGCGGACGCGGACGTGGACGCGGACGTGGACGCGGACGTGGACGCGGACATGGACGTGGACGTGGACATGGACGTGGATGTGGACGTAAGGGTTTGAAAGGTAACTAACGCACATGTGTAGAGAAAATGGTGCATCGGCCAGTCTGGCCGGCATTTCGCACTTATAGTGCAAGTAGAGCCAAGAAGAACGGAAACGCTCATTTCTCAAAAAGTAAAGGGAATCTAGCGGTCTCACTCGATCAGAAGGTGGGAAATATATAAATCTAGTGAGCTAATAAGGTTTGGAAGGAATCTAATGCATATGTATATGGAAAGTGGTGCATTGGCCAGGTCGGTCAGTATGGGAACTTAGAGTGCAAATGCCAGGGAGAACGGAAGCGCTCAGATCTCGCATAGTACACGGAATCTAGTGGTCTCACTCAAATAGAAGGTAGGAAATAAATTCATCTAGTGAACGTAATGGTTTGAAAGGTAACTAACGCACATGTGTAGAGAAAATGGTGCATCGGCCAGTTTGGCCGGCATTTCGCACTCATAGTGCAAGTAGGGCCAAGGAGAACAGAAACGCTCATTTCTCAAAAAGTAAAGGGAATCTAGCGGTCTCACTCGATCAGAAGGTGGGAAATATATAGATCTAGTGAGCTAATAAGGTTCGAAAGGAATCTAATGCATATGTATATGGAAAGTGGTGCATTGGCCAGGCCGGTCAGTATGGGAACTTAGAGTGCAAATGCCAGGGAGAACGGAAGCGCTCAGATCTGGCATAGTACACGGAATCTAGTGGTCTCACTCAAATAGAAGGTAGGAAATAAATTCATCTAGTGAACGTAAGGGTTTGAAATGTAACTAACGCACATGTGTAGAGAAAATGGTGCATCGGCCAGTCTGGCCAGCATTTCGCACTTATAGTGCAGGTGGGGCCAGGGAGAACGAAAATGCTCGTTTCTCAAAAAGTAGAGGGAATCTAACGGACTCACTCAATCAGAAGGTGGGAAATATATAAATCTAGTCAGCTCAAAAGGTTTGAAATGTATTCAACGCACAGGTATAAAGTGTGAGAATAAGCGAACAGGAATGGATCAACTAGAAGTGAAAAGAGTACAAGTAGTAAACCCTAGAATTGTGTACCCCCTATGGGCTAACCCACTGTAGCCTACACAAGTATAACATATATAATGTTTGACACACCCCCATAGGCAAAGTGGGGGAGAACAAGGGGTCAGAAGACCAGTCAAGCAAAGCAAAGCAAGCTCAGGGTGGATCACAAAGTCACCACACAGTCCGAGCACAAGAGCAGGGCCAGAGGCCAGTTCACATGCAGGAGTACAGACATATATATAAAACTAGACAAGCAAGAGCAGGTATATATATATGTCACAGTACAAGTAAAGTCAAGAGGAGAGCAAGTGAGGCAAGACAGACACAAGACCCAGCTGGGTGCAAAAGCGCTGATGATCACAAGGCGCGAGTGCCTTGGTGAACACATCAGCAGTGTTGGCCTCAGAGGCCACGTACGCAAGTCGCAACTGACCACGCTGTTGCAGCTCACGAGCAAGGAAGTAGCGGAGAGCAATGTGCTTCGTTCTGTGCTCCAAGCGCTGCTCTCGACACAAGGCCAGCATGGCCTTGTTGTCTACGTACAGCACTGGAGGAGAACGAGGCGGCTCTCCAAGGTCAGTCAGCAGGTAGGTGAGCCAGCGAAGCTCCTGTGCAGCCATGGCCCCGGCGTAGATCTCAGCCTCACAACTGGAGCCGAGAACCGAAGACGAGCGAGTAGACCGCCACGAGACAGAGCCGGAACCAAGGCTGAAGGTGTAACCCTGTGACGACCGCTGCGTAGTCTGGTCGTCAGCCCAAGAAGCGTCCGCGTGGCCGGTAAGGACCACTGGACTCCGCCCTCCAAGCACAAGCCCCATGCCCGACGTACTGCACAGGTAGCGCAATACCCTCTTCGCTGCAGCCATGTGCTCTGGTCTGTGTCTCCCAGGAGCAACATAGCGTGCAAGAATGCTCAGAGGATATGCAAGGTCAGGTCGTGTGCAGGTCATCAGGTACATGAGGCAGCCAACAAGCTCTGCATACGGACCACTCGACTCTACGGACTCATCCGAAGGCAGAGCTGAGAGTGAGTGGCGAGTAGGCAGAGGAGTGGCCTGAGGCGAGGAGTACGTGAAGCCGAAGCGCTGAAGGACCTGCTGCACCATGTGTGACTGAGTCAAAGTAATGGTGCGGCGTGCTCTGTCCCGAGTGATCTGCAAGCCAAGGTAGCTGCGCAGTTCACCCAGGTCTGTGCACGTGTGTCTCTTCAGCAGTTCGGACTTCACGTAGGCGAGTCCAGCAGTGTCCGCTGTGGCAAAAACCAAGTCGTCGACGTACACGAGGATGTAGAACGGCGGCAGTGAAGTGTCGGTGCGCAGAAACAGCAACGGGTCAGCAGTAGAAGGAGCAAACCCAAGAGCCGCAAGCGTAGTCCTCAGTGTGTCGTGCCACTCACGCGGTGCCTGGCGGAGACCGTAGACTGGCCGTCGGAGGCTCCACTGGGTGCCAGGAGGGAAAGTCCCAGTGAAGCCAGGTGGACGGCGCAGCCAGATCTCCTCGTGCAGGCTACCCTGCAGGAACGCAGTGCTGAAGTCGAGAGAGTGAAGCTCGTAGTCGCGCTGAGCGGCTATGTGCAGCAGCACCCGAAGAGTGGTCATCTTCGGGGTGGGAGAGAAGGTCTGAAAGTAGTCAACTCCCTGCCGCTGACTGAAGCCACGAGCAACGTACCGCGCCTTGAAGACAGGTGGAGAGCCCGGCAGCCGCTTCACCCGGAAGATCCACATGCCACTGACTATGTTCGCCCCAGGAGGGGGAACTGCGTCAACGTAGGTGCCTGTGGACTTCCAGGAAGCCATCTCTGCATCCATAGCTGCCTGCCACTGAGAGGAGTAGGGACCCTCTACAGCCTCCGCGTAAGAACGCGGAGTCGGGATGTCTAGTGCATCCGGGTCTCCCTCAGGGGCAAGCAGTACAGACGCGAGATGAGGTGAAGCAGCCGCTAGACACTGTAACTCCTCCTGTCTGTCCTCTAGGACGTCCGTGCCAAGAGCACACTCACCCCCGACGGACGGAGGACAGACAGACGCAGACTCAGCAACAAGACCAGCAGCGTAGTCGAGACGACAGCGAGCAGCAAAGTCAACGAGCTCAGCGACTAGAGCAGACGCAGCAGTGGACTCAAAAGAGGGGTCAGTGACGACAGTAGCAAGCAGACGCGTGACAGTAGGACTGGCAGCGCGAAGAGAGTCCGACTCAGGGTCGGCAAGCGCAGGAAGAGAGGACTCAGGAGGAGAAGGCAAAGGGGCACGCAGAGGAGCAGTGGACGGACGCAGAGACATCCGGTGCGTGCCAGGGACAGGAGGAGGACGCTGACGCGAACCGCGACCACTAGCGCGAGCAGCACGAACAGGCGACGCGGGACGAGACGCAGGCTCACGGCGCTCAGCAAGACCTCTAGTAGGACCAGTGTAAGGAGAGGGAGCAGGCAGAGGAGAGGAGGACTCCAACAGTGACTGCGACTGGACAGGCTGTGGACACTCTACCGAAGGAGAAAGACCAAGAACCTGCTGTAGGAGCGGAACGAAGTACGGCCGAGGCCGCGCGGCAGCTCCAGACACAGCAGGGACAGCACCAGCACCCTCAGCGACAGCACCAGCGCCACCCACACCTCCAGCGGCAGGGCCAACAGCAGTAGGCTCAGCACGAACGCCCTCAGCACCTCCAGCTCCAGGAGGACCCGCAGGTCCAGCAGCTCCGGGACCGGCAGCATCCGCACCCTCGACGGTCGAAGAAGCTCCAGCTCCAGCTCCAGCAGCACCTCCAGACTCAGCAGCACGCCTCCAGCGGCGAGCGTACCACTCGCGCAGCTCCTGTGGAGAGAGGGGCTCCCGGCGAGACGCAGCAGCAGGAGAAACCCCAGGCTCAGCAGCTCCAGACGCAGCAGGGACAGCACCAGCACCCTCAGCTACAGCACCAGCGCCACTCACACCTCCAGCGGCAGGACCAACAGCAGTAGGCTCAGCACGAACGCCCTCAGCAGCTCCAGCTCCAGGAGGACCCGCAGGTCCAGTAGCTCCGGGACCGGCAGCACCAGCACCCTCGACGGTCGAAGAAGCTCTGATACCATGTGAGAATAAGCGAACAGGAATGGATCAACTAGAAGTGAAAAGAGTACAAGTAGTAAACCCTAGAATTGTGTACCCCCTATGGGCTAACCCACTGTAGCCTACACAAGTATAACATATATAATGTTTGACATAAAGAAAATGGTGCATTGGCCAGGTCGGTCAGTATCGCAACTTAAAATGCAAATGCCAGGGAGAACGGAAGCGCTCAGATCTCGCATAGTACACGGAATCAAGTGGTCTCACTCAAATAGAAAGTAGAAAATATATTCATCTAGTGAACGTAAGGGTTTGAAAGGTAACTAACGCACATGTGTAGAGAAAATTGTGCATCGGCCAGTCTGGCCGGCATTTCGCACTTATAGTGCAACTAGGGCCAAGGAGAACGGAAACGCTCATTTCTCAATAAGTAGAGGGAATCTAGCGGTCTCACTCGATCAGAAGGTGGGAAATATATAAATCTAGTGAGATAATAAGGTTCGAAAGGAATCTAATGCATATGTATATGGAAAATGGTGCATTGGCCAGGTCGGTCAGTATGGGAACTTAGAGTGCAAATGACATGGACGTGGTCGTGGACGTGGACGTGGACATGGATATGGACATGGACGTGGACATGGACGTGGACGTGGACATGGACGTTGACGTGGACATGGACGTGGACATGGACGTGGACGTGGACATGGACGTGGACGTGGACGTGGACGTGGACATGGACGTAGACGTGGACGTGGACGTGGACGTGGACGTGGACGTGGTCGTGGACGTGGACGTGGACGTGGACGTGGACGTGGACGTGGAATTGGACGAGGACGTGCACGTGGACGAAGACATGGTCGTGGACGTGGACGTGGACGTAGACATGGACGTAGACGTGGACGTGGACGTGGACATGGACGTGGACCTGGTCGTGGACGTGGACGTGGAGGAACATGGACGTGGACGTGGACATGGACATGGACGTGGACGTGGACGTGGACGTGGACGTGGACGTTGACGTGGACGCGGACCTGGTCGTGGACGCGGACATGGATGTGGACGTGGACATGGACGTGGACGTGGACATGGACGTGGACGTGGACATGGACGTGGACGCGGACGTGGACGTGGACGTGGACATGGACGTAGACATGGTCGTGGACGTGGACATGGACATGGACGTGGACGTGGTCGTGGACGTAGACGTGGACGTGTACGTGGACGCGGACGTGGACGTGGACAAGGACGTGGACGTGGACGTGGACGTGGACGTGGAGGACTTGGACGTGGACGTGGACGTGGACGTGGACGACTTGGACGTGGACATGGACGTGGACATAGACGTGGACATAGACGTGGACGTGGACGTAGACATGGACGTAGACGTGGACGTGGACGTAGACGTGGACATGGACGTGGACGTGGACGTGGACGTGGACGTAGACATGGACGTGGACGTGGTCGTGGACGTGGACGTGGACGTGGACGTGGACATGAAGGTGGACATGGACGTGGACATGGACGTGGACGTGGACGTGGACGTGGACATGTACGTGGACGTGGACGTGGACGTGGACCTGGTCCTGGACGTGGACATGGACGTGGACGTGGACATGGACGTGGACGTGGACGTGGACGTGGACGTGGACATGGACATGGACGTGGACGTGACGTGGACGTGTGTCAAACATTATATATGTTATGCTTGTGTAGGCTACAGTGGGTTAGCCTATAGGGGGTACACAATTCTAGGGTTTACTACTTGTACTCATTTCCCTTCTAGTTCATCCATTCCTGCTTACTCATTTCACATGGTATCAGAGCGGGTTCCCTGTGGAACTCTGCCTAGGGCCCACCGAAGCGCGCCCCGAGGCGCGCTCAACTTTTTTTTCCGCTATCAAGCGACCCTCCGTGTCGCCTCCCTCCCACACGCGGCCCAGCCGCCCGCTACGATCGCGGCCCCAGCCGCCTGCTCGACGCGGCCCCCAGCCGCCTGCTCGACGCGGCCCCAGCCGCCTGCTCGACGCGGCCCCCAGCCGCCTGCTCGACGCGGCCCCCAGCCGCGTGCTCGACGCGGCCCTGCCGCCCGCTACGCCGCGGCCGCCGCCTGCTACGACCGCGGCCCCGGCCGCCTGCTACGACCGCGGCCCCCAGCCGCCTGTTCGACCGCGGCCCCGCCGCCCGCTCCTGTCGCGGCCCCCAGCCGCCTGCTTGACGCGGCCCTGCCGCCCGCTACGCCGCGGCCGCCGCCTGCTACGACCGCGGCCCCGGCCGCCTGCTACGACCGCGGCCCCAGCCGCCTGTTCGACCGCGGCCCAGCCGCCCGCTCCTGTCGCGGCCCCCAGCCGCCTGCTCGACGCGGCCCTGCCGCCCGCTACGCCGCGGCCGCCGCCTGCTACGACCGCGGCCCCGGCCGCCTGCTACGACCGCGGCCCCCAGCCGCCTGTTCGACCGCGGCCCCGCCGCCCGCTCCTGTCGCGGCCCCCAGCCGCCTGCTTGACGCGGCCCTGCCGCCCGCTACGCCGCGGCCGCCGCCCACTACGATCGCGGCCCCGGCCGCCTGCTACGACCGCGGCCCCAGCCGCCTGTTCGACCGCGGCCCCGCCGCCTACTACCGTAGCGGCCCCGGCCGTCTTCTCGCGCGGCCCAGCCGCCCACCTACTACCGGGAGCCGAGCCGCCCTGCAGCCGAGCCGCCCGGGAGCCGAGCCGCCCTGCACCCGAGCCGCCCTGTCGCCGAGCCGCCCGGGAGCCGAGCCGCCCTGCCCCCGAGCTGCCCTGCCGCCGAGCCGCCCGGGAGCCGAGCCGCCCTGCGCCCGAGCCGCCCAGCACCCGAGCCGCCAGGTCGCTGAGCCGCCTTTCTGCATACCTACTCGACCTGCCCTGCCTGGTGAGCACAGTCCCACTGCCACTGCAAGCTCTTTCCCTACTGCTTGCACTGCGTCGCTGTCGTCGCCATGGCTACCCCTAGTGTCCTAGCTTTTGACGCTGAGGGTCGCGCCATTGATTTTGAGGTCTGGTTAGACGACCTGCAGCTGTTCTTACAGTGCGACAGGGCTGACGACCTTTCTCTCTTTGACCTCACCTCTGGCGCCTCTCCTGCTCCTGCTGCTGATGCTGATCCCGCTGTCCGCTCTAAGTGGGCCACCCGCGATGCTGCTGCACGTCTTGCTGTGCGTCGCCACCTCCCTACCTCTGAGCGTGCGCAATATAGTCAGTACAAGAGTGCTCAGACCTTGTACGACGCTGTAGTTGCGCGCTACTCCTCCCCTGCCACTGCTGCACTGAGCCGTCTCATGCTTCCCTACCTCTTTCCTGACCTCTCTGCCTTTCCCACTGTCGCTGACCTCATTACGCACCTCCGCACTAGTGACACTCGCTACCGCGCCGCCCTTCCTGCTGAGTTCTGCGCTAAGAACCCCCCCCCCATGTACATCGCTCTCTACTACGTAGTCGCGCGCCTCCCTGACTCCCTTCGCGTCGTCAGGGACCACTTTCTCGTAGTCTGTCCCACCACCCTCACCGTCGACCTCCTCGAGAAGGCCCTCCTTGCAGCGGAGAAGAGCATAGTCGCTGTAGGTGCTTCTCGTGGTGACCCTCGCACCCCCATCTTTGAGGGGTGCTCTCCTTCCCCCTTGCTGCCCTCTGTTGCCTCTGCTGCTGCTGCCGACCTGCTTGGTCTTGAGTCGGTCGGCGCGGCGTCTGCCCCTAGTGGGAGACGTCGCTCCAGCAAGGGCAAGGGGGGCAAGGGCGCGGGTGGAGCTGGAGGGGGCGGTGGCGGTGGCGGCGGTGGCAGCGGAGGGAGTGGGGGTGGCGGCGGGACTAGTGGCGGGGGTGGTGGTGGTGGTGGTGGCAGCAGCGGCGGAGACGGTGGTGGTGGAGCCAGCGGTGGTGGTGGAGGCAGCGGCGGAGGTGGAGGCGGCGGAGGTGGAGGTGGTGGAGGCGGCAGCGGAGGAGGCAGTGGTGGTGGAGGAGGTGGAGCTGGTCGGGGTGGTACCCAGCAGCGTAGCGGTGGTGGTGGTGGCCAGCGCTCGCACCGGCAGCAGCAGCAGCGCTCGCGGGACATCCCTTCGCCTCAGCAGCTTCGTGAGTGGTACGCTGGGCGTCAGAGGGGTGGGGGTACTGGTCCCTGCACCTACGTTCTTCGTTCCGGCGACCGCGCGGGTGAGCAGTGTGGGGGTGCCCACGCCACCCAGCGCTGCTTTGGCCGCCTGACGGACGCCTGGCGTCAGTAGTTCCCTGGGGCTAGTGAGATCCCTCGCTGGGATGAGCTTCTCAGGGCTGGTGTAGCGATCTTTGATCTTGATTTTGATGCTATCCTTACTGCTATGTATGTTGTGGATTATAGTGAGGAGAATGAGGGTTACCGTTGTTTCCGGCCCGACCCGGGCATTGGTACTGCTGCGCTAGGTGCTTGTGAGGCTGCTGCTCTAGGTGCCAGTGCGTCTGCGCTCTCAGGTACTGGTGAGACTGCGCTCTCAGGTACTGCGTCGTCCTCGTCCTCCCTCACTTTCACACTTGACTCCGGAGCTTCTCACACAGCGACGGGTCAGCAGTAGAAGGAGCAAACCCAAGAGCCGCAAGCGTAGTCCTCAGTGTGTCGTGCCACTCACGCGGTGCCTGGCGGAGACCGTAGACTGGCCGTCGGAGGCTCCACTGGGTGCCAGGAGGGAAAGTCCCAGTGAAGCCAGGTGGACGGCGCAGCCAGATCTCCTCGTGCAGGCTACCCTGCAGGAACGCAGTGCTGAAGTCGAGAGAGTGAAGCTCGTAGTCGCGCTGAGCGGCTATGTGCAGCAGCACCCGAAGAGTGGTCATCTTCGGGGTGGGAGAGAAGGTCTGAAAGTAGTCAACTCCCTGCCGCTGACTGAAGCCACGAGCAACGTACCGCGCCTTGAAGACAGGTGGAGAGCCCGGCGGCCGCTTCACCCGGAAGATCCACATGCCACTGACTATGTTCGCCCCAGGAGGGGGAACTGCGTCAACGTAGGTGCCTGTGGACTTCCAGGAAGCCGTCTCTGCATCCATAGCTGCCTGCCACTGAGAGGAGTAGGGACCCTCTACAGCCTCCGCGTAAGAACGCGGAGTCGGGATGTCTAGTGCATCCGGGTCTCCCTCAGGGGCAAGCAGTACAGACGCGAGATGAGGTGAAGCAGCCGCTAGACACTGTAACTCCTCCTGTCTGTCCTCTAGGACGTCCGTGCCAAGAGCACACTCACCCCCGACGGACGGAGGACAGACAGACGCAGACTCAGCAACAAGACCAGCAGCGTAGTCGAGACGACAGCGAGCAGCAAAGTCAACGAGCTCAGCGACTAGAGCAGACGCAGCAGTGGACTCAAAAGAGGGGTCAGTGACGACAGTAGCAAGCAGACGCGTGACAGTAGGACTGGCAGCGCGAAGAGAGTCCGACTCAGGGTCGGCAAGCGCAGGAAGAGAGGACTCAGGAGGAGAAGGCAAAGGGGCACGCAGAGGAGCAGTGGACGGACGCAGAGACATCCGGTGCGTGCCAGGGACAGGAGGAGGACGCTGATGCGAACCGCGACCACTAGCGCGAGCAGCACGAACAGGCGACGCGGGACGAGACGCAGGCTCACGGCGCTCAGCAAGACCTCCAGTAGGACCAGTGTAAGGAGAGGGAGCAGGCAGAGGAGAGGAAGACTCCAACAGTGACTGCGACTGGACAGGCTGTGGACACTCTACCGAAGGAGAAAGACCAAGAACCTGCTGTAGGAGCGGAACGAAGTACGGCCGAGGCCGCGCGGCAGCTCCAGACACAGCAGGGACAGCACCAGCACCCTCAGCGACAGCACCAGCGCCACCCACACCTCCAGCGGCAGGGCCAACAGCAGTAGGCTCAGCACGAACGCCCTCAGCACCTCCAGCTCCAGGAGGACCCGCAGGTCCAGCAGCTCCGGGACCGGCAGCATCCGCACCCTCGACGGTCGAAGAAGCTCCAGCTCCAGCTCCAGCAGCACCTCCAGACTCAGCAGCACGCCTCCAGCGGCGAGCGTACCACTCGCGCAGCTCCTGTGGAGAGAGGGGCTCCCGGCGAGACGCAGCAGCAGGAGAAACCCCAGGCTCAGCAGCTCCAGACGCAGCAGGGACAGCACCAGCACCCTCAGCTACAGCACCAGCGCCACTCACACCTCCAGCGGCAGGACCAACAGCAGTAGGCTCAGCACGAACGCCCTCAGCAGCTCCAGCTCCAGGAGGACCCGCAGGTCCAGTAGCTCCGGGACCGGCAGCACCAGCACCCTCGACGGTCGAAGAAGCTCTGATACCATGTGAGAATAAGAGAACAGGAATGGATCAACTAGAAGTGAAAAGAGTACAAGTAGTAAACCCTAGAATTGTGTACCCCCTATGGGCTAACCCACTGTAGCCTACACAAGTATAACATATATAATGTTTGACATAAAGAAAATGGTGCATTGGCCAGGTCGGTCAGTATCGCAACTTAAAATGCAAATGCCAGGGAGAACGGAAGCGCTCAGATCTCGCATAGTACACGGAATCAAGTGGTCTCACTCAAATAGAAAGTAGAAAATATATTCATCTAGTGAACGTAAGGGTTTGAAAGGTAACTAACGCACATGTGTAGAGAAAATTGTGCATCGGCCAGTCTGGCCGGCATTTCGCACTTATAGTGCAACTAGGGCCAAGGAGAACGGAAACGCTCATTTCTCAATAAGTAGAGGGAATCTAGCGGTCTCACTCGATCAGAAGGTGGGAAATATATAAATCTAGTGAGCTAATAAGGTTCGAAAGGAATCTAATGCATATGTATATGGAAAATGGTGCATTGGCCAGGTCGGTCAGTATGGGAACTTAGAGTGCAAATGACATGGACGTGGTCGTGGACGTGGACGTGGACATGGATATGGACATGGACGTGGACATGGACGTGGACGTGGACATGGACGTTGACGTGGACATGGACGTGGACATGGACGTGGACGTGGACATGGACGTGGACGTGGACGTGGACGTGGACATGGACGTAGACGTGGACGTGGACGTGGACGTGGACGTGGACGTGGTCGTGGACGTGGACGTGGACGTGGACGTGGACGTGGACGTGGACGTGGAATTGGACAAGGACGTGCACGTGGACGAAGACATGGTCGTGGACGTGGACGTGGACGTAGACATGGACGTAGACGTGGACGTGGACGTGGACATGGACGTGGACCTGGTCGTGGACGTGGACGTGGAGGAACATGGACGTGGACGTGGACATGGACATGGACGTGGACGTGGACGTGGACGTGGACGTGGACGTTGACGTGGACGTGGACCTGGTCGTGGACGCGGACATGGATGTGGACGTGGACATGGACGTGGACGTGGACATGGACGTGGACGTCGACATGGTTGTGGACGCGGACGTGGACGTGGACGTGGACATGGACGTAGACATGGTCGTGGACGTGGACATGGACATGGACGTGGACGTGGTCGTGGACGTAGACGTGGACGTGGACGTGGACTTGGACGTGGACGTGGACGTGGACATGGACGTGGACATAGACGTGGACATAGACGTGGACGTGGACGTAGACATGGACGTAGACGTGGACGTGGACGTAGACGTGGACATGGACGTGGACGTGGACGTGGACGTAGACATGGACGTGGACGTGGTCGTGGACGTGGACGTGGACGTGGACGTGGACATGAAGGTGGACATGGACGTGGACATGGACGTGGACGTGGACGTGGACGTGGACATGTACGTGGACGTGGACGTGGACGTGGACCTGGTCCTGGACGTGGACATGGACGTGGACGTGGACATGGACGTGGACGTGGACGTGGACGTGGACGTGGACATGGACATGGACGTGGACGTGACGTGGACGTGTGTCAAACATTATATATGTTATGCTTGTGTAGGCTACAGTGGGTTAGCCTATAGGGGGTACACAATTCTAGGGTTTACTACTTGTACTCATTTCCCTTCTAGTTCATCCATTCCTGCTTACTCATTTCACATGGTATCAGAGCGGGTTCCCTGTGGAACTCTGCCTAGGGCCCACCGAAGCGCGCCCCGAGGCGCGCTCAACTTTTTTTTCCGCTATCGAGCGACCCTCCGTGTCACCTCCCTCCCACACGCGGCCCAGCCGCCCGCTACGATCGCGGCCCCAGCCGCCTGCTCGACGCGGCCCCCAGCCGCCTGCTCGACGCGGCCCCAGCCGCCTGCTCGACGCGGCCCCCAGCCGCCTGCTCGACGCGGCCCCCAGCCGCCTGCTCGACGCGGCCCTGCCGCCCGCTACGCCGCGGCCGCCGCCTGCTACGACCGCGGCCCCGGCCGCCTGCTACGACCGCGGCCCCCAGCCGCCTGTTCGACCGCGGCCCCGCCGCCCGCTCCTGTCGCGGCCCCCAGCCGCCTGCTTGACGCGGCCCTGCCGCCCGCTACGCCGCGGCCGCCGCCTGCTACGACCGCGGCCCCGGCCGCCTGCTACGACCGCGGCCCCAGCCGCCTGTTCGACCGCGGCCCAGCCGCCCGCTCCTGTCGCGGCCCCCAGCCGCCTGCTCGACGCGGCCCTGCCGCCCGCTACGCCGCGGCCGCCGCCTGCTACGACCGCGGCCCCGGCCGCCTGCTACGACCGCGGCCCCCAGCCGCCTGTTCGACCGCGGCCCCGCCGCCCGCTCCTGTCGCGGCCCCCAGCCGCCTGCTTGACGCGGCCCTGCCGCCCGCTACGCCGCGGCCGCCGCCCACTACGATCGCGGCCCCGGCCGCCTGCTACGACCGCGGCCCCAGCCGCCTGTTCGACCGCGGCCCCGCCGCCTACTACCGTAGCGGCCCCGGCCGTCTTCTCGCGCGGCCCAGCCGCCCACCTACTACCGGGAGCCGAGCCGCCCTGCAGCCGAGCCGCCCGGGAGCCGAGCCGCCCTGCACCCGAGCCGCCCTGTCGCCGAGCCGCCCGGGAGCCGAGCCGCCCTGCCCCCGAGCTGCCCTGCCGCCGAGCCGCCCGGGAGCCGAGCCGCCCTGCGCCCGAGCCGCCCAGCACCCGAGCCGCCAGGTCGCTGAGCCGCCTTTCTGCATACCTACTCGACCTGCCCTGCCTGGTGAGCACAGTCCCACTGCCACTGCAAGCTCTTTCCCTACTGCTTGCACTGCGTCGCTGTCGTCGCCATGGCTACCCCTAGTGTCCTAGCTTTTGACGCTGAGGGTCGCGCCATTGATTTTGAGGTCTGGTTAGACGACCTGCAGCTGTTCTTACAGTGCGACAGGGCTGACGACCTTTCTCTCTTTGACCTCACCTCTGGCGCCTCTCCTGCTCCTGCTGCTGATGCTGATCCCGCTGTCCGCTCTAAGTGGGCCACCCGCGATGCTGCTGCACGTCTTGCTGTGCGTCGCCACCTCCCTACCTCTGAGCGTGCGCAATATAGTCAGTACAAGAGTGCTCAGACCTTGTACGACGCTGTAGTTGCGCGCTACTCCTCCCCTGCCACTGCTGCACTGAGCCGTCTCATGCTTCCCTACCTCTTTCCTGACCTCTCTGCCTTTCCCACTGTCGCTGACCTCATTACGCACCTCCGCACTAGTGACACTCGCTACCGCGCCGCCCTTCCTGCTGAGTTCTGCGCTAAGAACCCCCCCCCCATGTACATCGCTCTCTACTACGTAGTCGCGCGCCTCCCTGACTCCCTTCGCGTCGTCAGGGACCACTTTCTCGCAGTCTGTCCCACCACCCTCACCGTCGACCTCCTCGAGAAGGCCCTCCTTGCAGCGGAGAAGAGCATAGTCGCTGTAGGTGCTTCTCGTGGTGACCCTCGCACCCCCATCTTTGAGGGGTGCTCTCCTTCCCCCTTGCTGCCCTCTGTTGCCTCTGCTGCTGCTGCCGACCTGCTTGGTCTTGAGTCGGTCGGCGCGGCGTCTGCCCCTAGTGGGAGACGTCGCTCCAGCAAGGGCAAGGGGGGCAAGGGCGCGGGTGGAGCTGGAGGGGGCGGTGGCGGTGGCGGCGGTGGCAGCGGAGGGAGTGGGGGTGGCGGCGGGACTAGTGGCGGGGGTGGTGGTGGTGGTGGTGGCAGCAGCGGCGGAGACGGTGGTGGTGGAGCCAGCGGTGGTGGTGGAGGCAGCGGCGGAGGTGGAGGCGGCGGAGGTGGAGGTGGTGGAGGCGGCAGCGGAGGAGGCAGTGGTGGTGGAGGAGGTGGAGCTGGTCGGGGTGGTACCCAGCAGCGTAGCGGTGGTGGTGGTGGCCAGCGCTCGCACCGGCAGCAGCAGCAGCGCTCGCGGGACATCCCTTCGCCTCAGCAGCTTCGTGAGTGGTACGCTGGGCGTCAGAGGGGTGGGGGTACTGGTCCCTGCACCTACGTTCTTCGTTCCGGCGACCGCGCGGGTGAGCAGTGTGGGGGTGCCCACGCCACCCAGCGCTGCTTTGGCCGCCTGACGGACGCCTGGCGTCAGTAGTTCCCTGGGGCTAGTGAGATCCCTCGCTGGGATGAGCTTCTCAGGGCTGGTGTAGCGATCTTTGATCTTGATTTTGATGCTATCCTTACTGCTATGTATGTTGTGGATTATAGTGAGGAGAATGAGGGTTACCGTTGTTTCCGGCCCGACCCGGGCATTGGTACTGCTGCGCTAGGTGCTTGTGAGGCTGCTGCTCTAGGTGCCAGTGCGTCTGCGCTCTCAGGTACTGGTGAGACTGCGCTCTCAGGTACTGCGTCGTCCTCGTCCTCCCTCACTTTCACACTTGACTCCGGAGCTTCTCGCTCCTTCTTTCGAGACCGCACTACCCTTACGCCGCTCGGCCGGCCGGTTGCAGTCTCCCTTGCTGACCCCTCTGGAGGTCCTGTCCTGTCTCACTTCTCCACTGTCCTCCCGTGTCCGGCTGCCCCTTCGGGCACCCTGTCGGGTCTGTACCTTCCCTCGTTCTCCACGAACTAGGTGAGTGGAGCGGACCTGCAGGATGGGGGTGTTCACCAGTTCACTCCTGCGAGTCAGCGGGTGACCCACTGCACGGAGGCACGCACAGGCCGACACCTGGCCACGTTCTCGCGTCGGCCGGGGTCGAGTCTCTACACCCTGACCGTTGAGTCTCCTCCTGTCCCTGCGTCTGGTCAGGTGGCTGCGTCGGGTCAGGTACTTGCTGCTGCGTCCCGGTCAGGTCCTGAGTCTGCCCCCTGTTCTTGTCGCCTCTTGTCTCACGAGACTCTCCTGTGGCACCACCGTCTTGGCCACCCCTCCTTGCCCAGTCTTCGGAGCATGGCTTCCCGTGTCCTTGTCTCTGGTCTTCCCCAGTCTCTCCCTCCTCTCCCCTCCGGGCCAGGACCTTCCTGTGTCCCCTGTGTCGAGGGTCGCCTCCGGGCTACTCCTCACTCCTCCCACTTCCCCCCGACAGAGGCTCCCCTGCAGACGCTTCACATGGATGTGTGGGGCCCAGCCCCCGTCCGTGGGCAGGGTTACGAGCGCTACTTCCTGTTGGTGGTTGACGACTACTCGCGTTACACCACAGTCCTCCCCTTGCGCAGCAAGGGTGCGGTCACTGAGGTGCTGATCGACTGGATCCGCGAGGCTCGTCTCCAGCTCAGGAAGAGCTTCGGCTCGGACTTTCCTGTTCTGCGTCTGCACTCTGACAGAGGCGGAGAGTTCTCTTCTCGCCTTCTGCGGGACTACTGTCGTGCACGGGGGATCCGCCAGACCTTCACGCTTCCGGACTCACCACAGCAAAATGGGATTGCTGAGCGCCGCATTGGCATGGTCATGGATGTCGCTCGTACGTCCATGATGCATGCGGCTGCCCCCCATTTTCTGTGGCCGTTTGCGGTGAGGTACGCGGCGCATCAGCTCAACCTTCACCCCCGGGTCTCTCGGCCTGCGATGTCCCCAGTCTTGCTGTGGACGGGGAAGGTTGGCGATGCGTCTGTGTTCCGTGTCTGGGGATCTCGGGCGTTTGTCCGCGACTTGTCTGCGGACAAGCTGTCCCCTCGTGCTGCTCCCTGTGTCTTCCTTGGCTTCCCCACTGACGCCCCAGGGTGGCAGTTTTACCACCCCTCCTCTCGTCGTGTTCTGTCCTCCCAGGACGTCACGTTCGACGAGTCAGTCCCCTTCTACCGTCTCTTCCCCTACCGCACTCCTTCCCTCCCCCCTCCCCCGGACTTCCTTGTGCCGGTTCCCCCCCCGGTAGACCCCCTCCCCCCTCAGGTTCCTGCCCCCTCAGGTGTGTCCCAGGTAGACGCCGTTGACCCGGTCGAGGTTACTGGTGACTCTGGTGCTGCTGCGGGTGCTGAGCCTGGGGGTGCTGACTCTGGGGGTGCTGTGCGCGGGGGTGCTGAGCCTGGGGGTGCTACTGGTGGGGGTGCTGGGCCTGAGGGTGCTACTCCTGAGGGTGCGGAGCCTGGGGGTGCTTAGCCGGGGGGTGCTGTGCCTGGAGGTGCTGGGTCTGGGGGTGCTGGGTCGGGAGCTGCTGGGCCTGGGGGTACTGAGCTGGGAGCTGCTGAGCCTGGGGGTGCTACGTCTGGAGCTGCTGAGCCTGGGGTTTCTCCTGCTGCTGCGTCTCGCCGGGAGCCCCTCTCTCCACAGGAGCTGCGCGAGTGTTTCGCTCGCCGCTGGAGGCGTGCTGCTGAGTCTGGAGGTGCTGCTGGAGCTGGAGCTGGAGCTTCTTCGACCGTCGAGGGTGCGGGTGCTGCCGGTCCCGGAGCTGCTGGACCTGCGGGTCCTCCTGGAGCTGGAGCTGCTGAGGGCGTTCGTGCTGAGCCTGCTGCTGTTGGTCCTGCCGCTGGAGGTGTGGGTGGCGCTGGTGCTGTAGCTGAGGGTGCTGGTGCTGTCCCTGCTGAGTCTGGAGCTGCCGCGCGGCCTCGGCCGTACTTCGTTCCGCTCCTGCAGCAGGTTCTTGGTCTTTCTCCTCCAGTAGAGGGTCCACCACCTGTCCAGTCGCAGTCCCTACTGGAGCCTTCCTCTCCACTGCCTGCTCCCTCTCCTTACACTGGTCCTACTGGAGGTCTTGCTGAGCGTCGTGAGCCTGCGTCTCGTCCCGCGTCGCCTGTTCGTGCTGCTCGCGCTAGTGGTCGCAGTTCGCGTCAGCGTCCTCCTCCTGTCCCTGGCACGCACCGGATGTCTCTGCGTCCGTCCACTGCTCCTCTGCGTGCCCCTTTGCCTTCTCCTCCTGAGTCCTCTCTTCCTGCGCTTGCCGACCCTGAGTCGGACTCTCTTCGCGCTGCGAGTCCTACTGTCACGCGTCTGCTTGCTACTGTCGTCACTGACCCCTCTTTTGAGTCCACTGCTGCGTCTGCTCTAGTCGCTAAGCTCGTTGACTTTGCTGCCCGCTGTCGTCTCGACTACGCTGCTAGTCTTGTTGCTGAGTCTGTCTGTCCTCCGTCCGTCGGGGGTGAGTGTGCTCTTGGCACGGACGTCCTAGAGGACAGGCAGGAGGAGTTACAGTGTCTAGCGGCTGCTTCACCTCATCTCGCGTCTGTACTGCTTGCCCCTGAGGGAGACCCGGATGCACTAGACATCCCGACTCCACGTTCTTACGCGGAGGCCGTAGAGGGTCCCTACTCCTCTCAGTGGCAGGCAGCTATGGATGCAGAGATGGCTTCCTGGAAGTCCACAGGCACCTACGTTGACGCGGTTCCCCCTCCTGGGGCGAACATCGTCAGTGGCATGTGGATCTTCAGGGTGAAGCGCCCGCCGGGCTCTCCACCTGTTTTCAAGGCACGGTACGTTGCTCGTGGCTTCAGTCAGCGGCAGGGAGTTGACTACTTTCAGACCTTCTCTCCCACCCCGAAGATGACCACTCTTCGGGTGCTGCTGCACATAGCCGCTCAGCGCGACTACGAGCTTCACTCTCTCGACTTCAGCACTGCGTTCCTGCAGGGTAGCCTGCACGAGGAGATCTGGCTTCGCCGTCCACCTGGCTTCACTGGGACTTTCCCTCCTGGCACCCAGTGGAGCCTCCGACGGCCAGTCTACGGTCTCCGCCAGGCACCGCGTGAGTGGCACGACACACTGAGGACTACGCTTGCGGCTCTTGGGTTTGCTCCTTCTACTGCTGACCCGTCGCTGTTTCTTCGCACCGACACTTCCCTGCCGCCGTTCTACATCCTCGTGTACGTCGACGACTTGGTCTTTGCCACAGCGGACACTGCTGGACTCGCCTACGTGAAGTCCGAGCTGCTGAAGAGACACACGTGCACAGACCTGGGTGAACTGCGCAGCTACCTTGGCTTGCAGATCACTCGGGACAGAGCACGCCGCACCATTACCTTGACTCAGTCACACATGGTGCAGCAGGTCCTTCAGCGCTTCGGCTTCACGTACTCCTCGCCTCAGGCCACTCCTCTGCCTACTCGCCACTCACTCTCAGCTCTGCCTTCGGATGAGTCCGTAGAGTCGAGTGGTCCGTATGCAGAGCTTGTTGGCTGCCTCATGTACCTGATGACCTGCACACGACCTGACCTTGCATACCCTCTGAGCATTCTTGCACGCTATGTTGCTCCTGGGAGACACAGACCAGAGCACATGGCTGCAGCGAAGAGGGTATTGCGCTACCTGTGCAGTACGTCGGGTATGGGGCTAGTGCTTGGAGGGCGGAGTCCAGTGGTCCTTACCGGCCACGCGGACGCTTCTTGGGCTGACGACCAGGCTACGCAGCGGTCGTCACAGGGTTACACCTTCAGCCTTGGTTCCGGCTCTGTCTCGTGGCGGTCTACTCGCTCGTCTTCGGTTCTCGGCTCCAGTTGTGAGGCTGAGATCTACGCCGGGGCCATGGCTGCACAGGAGCTTCGCTGGCTCACCTACCTGCTGACTGACCTTGGAGAGCCGCCTCGTTCTCCTCCAGTGCTGTACGTAGACAACAAGGCCATGCTTACCTTGTGTCGAGAGCAGCGCTTGGAGCACAGAACGAAGCACATTGCTCTCCGCTACTTCCTTGCTCGTGAGCTGCAGCAGCGTGGTCAGTTGCGACTTGCGTACGTGGCCTCTGAGGCCAACACTGCTGATGTGTTCACCAAGGCACTCGCGCCTTGTGACCATCAGCGCTTTTGCACCCAGCTGGGTCTTGTGCCTGTCTTGCCTCACTTGCTCTCCTCTTGACTTTACCTGTACTGTGACATATATATATACCTGCTCTTGCTTGTCTAGTTTTATATATATGTCTGTACTCCTGCATGTGAACTGGCCTCTGGCCCTGCTCTTGTGCTCGGACTGTGTGGTGACTTTGTGATCCACCCTGAGCTTTGCTTTGCTTTGCTTGACTGGTCTTGTGACCCCTTGTTCTCCCCCACTTTGCCTATGGGGGTGTGTCAAACATTATATATGTTATGCTTGTGTAGGCTACAGTGGGTTAGCCTATAGGGGGTACACAATTCTAGGGTTTACTACTTGTACTCATTTCCCTTCTAGTTCATCCATTCCTGCTTACTCATTTCACAACGTGGACATGGTTATGGACGTGGACGTGGACATGGACGTGGACGTGGACGTGGACGTGGACGAAGACATGGTCGTGGACGTGGACGTGGACGTAGACATGGACGTAGACTTGGACGTGGACGTGGACGTGGACGTGGTCGTGGACGTGGACGTGGACGTGGAGGAACATGGACGTGGACGTGGACGTGGACGTGGACATTGACGTGGGCGTAGACGTGGACGTGGACGTGGACGTGGACGAAGACATGGTCGTGGACGTGGACGTGGACGTGGACGTGGACGTGGACATGGACGTGGACGTGGACGTGGACTTGGACGTGGACGTGGACGTTGACGTGGACGTGAACGTGGACGTGGACGTGGACAGGGACATGGACGTGGACGTGGACGTGGACATGGTCGTGGACGTGGACGTGGACGTGGACATGGTCGTGGACGTGGACGTGGACGTGGACGTGGACATGGACGTGGACGTGGACGTGGACATGGACATGGACGTGAACGCGGACGTGGACGTGGACAGGGACGTGGACGTGGACGTAGACGTGGACGTGGACATGGACGTGGACGTGGACGTGACGTGGACGTGGACATGGACGTGGACGTAAACGTGGACGTGGATATGGACGACGTGGATATGGACGTGGACGTGGACGTGGACGTGGACGTGGACGTGGACATGGACGTGGATGTGGACATGGACGTGGACATGGACGTGGGAAGGGGATGGGGGGAAGTAGGGAAGGGGATGGGGGGGAGCAGGGAAGGGGATGGGGGGAAGCAGGGCAGGGGATACGGGGTAAGAGGGGATAGGATAGGGGGAAGCATGGCTAGGGATACGGGGAAGCAGGGAAGAGGATGGGGGGAACGTGGGCAGATGCCGGGGAGAGAGCTGGGGGGAGGATGGTGGGGAGCAGAGAGGGAATCAAAACGCTGTTTGATTGTGGTGGCGTAGCGACCACCTCTGTTTCTCCCCATCTGTTCCTCCCCATCTGTCCCACCCCTTCAGAAGGAATGAGGGAGGAAGGATGGGCTGGAGCTAGTAAGATGGGGAGAGGGGAAGAGCGGATGGAAACGCGGAGGTGGACATGGACGTGGACATGGACGTGGACGTGGACGTGGACGTGGACATGGACGTGGACGTGGACGTGGACGTGGACGTGGACATGGACGTGGACGTGGACGTGGACATGGACGTGGACGTGGACGTGGACGTGGACGTGGACGTGGACATGGACGTGGACGTGGACGTGGACATGGACGTGGACGTAGACGTGGACGTGGACGTGGACGTGGACATGGACGTAGACGTGGACGTGGACGTTGACGTGGATATGGACGTGGACGTGGACGTGGACGTGGACGTGGAGGAGTTGGACGTGGACATGGACGTGGACGTGGACAAGGACGTGGAAGTGGACGTGGACGTGGACGTGGAGAACTTGGACGTGGACATGGACGTGAACGTGGACGTGGACATGGACGTGGAGGACTTGGACGTGGACATGGACGTGGACGTGGACGTGGACATAAACGTGGGCGTGGACATGGAGGTGGACGTGGACGTGGACGTCGACATGGACGTGGACGTGGACGTGGACGTGGACGTGGACGTGGACGTGGACGTGGACATGGTCGTGGACATGGACATGAACATGGACGTGGACATGGTCGTGGACGTGGACGTGGACATGGACGTGGACGTGGACGCGACGTGGACGTGGACGTGGACGTGGACGTGCACCTGGTCGTGGACATGGACGTGGACGTGGACGTGGACGTGGACGTGGACGTGGACATGGACGTGGACGTGGACGTGGACGTGGACGTGGACGTGGACGTGGACTGGGACATGGACGTGGAGGTGGACGTGGAGTGGACGTGGACGTGGACGTCGACGTGGACGTGGACGTGGACGTGGACGTGGACGTGGACGTGGGAGTGGACGTGGGAGTGGACGTGGAGTGGACGTGGACGTGGACGTGGACGTGGACGTTGACGTGGACGTGGACGAGGACGTGGACGTTGACGTGGACGTGGACGTGGACGTGGACGTGGACATGGACGTGGACGTGGACGTGGACGTGGACGTGGACGTGGACGTGGACGTGGACATGGACGTGGACGTGGACGTGGACGTGGACGTGGAGGACGTGGATGTGGACGTGGACGTGGACGTGGAGAACTTGGACGTCGACATGGACGTGAACGTGGACGTGGACGTGGACGTGGACGTGGACGTGGACGTGGACGTGGACGTGGAGAACTTGGACGTGGACATGGACGTGAACGTGGACGTGGACGTGGACGTGGAGGACTTGGACGTGGACATGGACGTGGACGTGGAGTGGACGTGGACGTGGACGTTGACGTGGACGTGGACGTGGACATGGACGTGGACGTGACGTGGACGTGGACGTGGACGTGGACGTGGACCTGGACGTGGACGTGGACGTGGACATAGACGTGGACGTGGACGTGGACGTGGACGTGGACGTGGACGTGGACATGGACGTGGACGTGGACGTGGACGTGGACGTGGACGTGGACGTGGAGTGGACGTGGACGTGGACGTGGACGTGGACGTGGACATGGACGTGGACGTGGACGTGGACGTGGACGTGGAGATGGACGTGGACGTGGAAGTGGACGTGGACATGGACGTGGACGTAGACGTGGACGTGGACGTGGACATGGACGTGGACGTGGACGTGGACGTGGACGTGGAGGACGTGGACGTGGACGTAGACGTGGACGTGGAGAACTTGGACGTGGACATGGACGTGAACGTGGACGTGGACGTGGACGTGGAGGACTTGGACGTGGACATGGATGTGGACGTGGACGTGGACGTGGACGTGGACGAGGACTTGGACGTGGACGTGGACATGGAAGTGGACGTGGACGTGGACGTGGACATGGACATGGACATGGACGTGGACGTGGACGTGGACGTGGACCTAGACGTGGACGTGGACGTGGACGTGGACGTGGACATGGACGTGGACGTGGACATAGACGTGGACGTGGACGTGGACGTGGACGTGGACGTGGACATGGACGTGGACGTGGACGTGAACAAGACGTGGACGTGGACGTGGACGTGGACGTGGACGTGAACAAGACGTGGACGTGAACATGGACGTGGACGTGGACATGGACGTGGACGTGGACATGAACGTGGACATGGACGTGGACATGGACGTGGACCTGGACATGGACGTGGACATGGACGTGGACATGGACGTGGACATGGACGTGGACGTGGACGTGGGCGTGGACGTGAAGATGGACGTGGACGTGGACGTGGAGGACTTGGACGTTGAGGTTGACGTTGACGTGGACGTGGACGTGGACGTGGACATGGACGAGGACGTGGACATGGACGTGGACGTGGACATGGACGTGGACATGTACGTGGACGTCGACGTGGAAGTGGACGTGGACGTGGAGAACTTGGACGTGGACATGGACGTGGACATGGACGTGGACGTGGACGTGGACGAAGACATGGTCGTGGATGTCGACGTGGACGTGGACGTGGACGTGGACATGGACTTAGACATGGACGTGGACGTGGACGTGGACGTGGTCGTGGACGTGGCTTGGTCGTGGACATGGACGTGGACGTGGACATGGACGTGGACGTGGACGTGGACGTAGACATGGACGTGGACCTGGACGTCCCTCTACTTTTTGAGAAATGAGCGTTTCCGTTCTCCTTGGCCCTAGTTGCACTATAAGTGCGAAATGCCGGCAAGTTTGGCCGATGCACAATTTTCTCTACACATGTGCGTTAGTTACCTTCCAAACCCTTACGTTCACTAGATGAATAGATTTCCTACTTTCTATTTGAGTGAGACCAGTTGATTCCGTGTACTATGCGAGATCTGAGCGCTTCCGTTCTCCCTGGCATTTGCATTTTAAGTACCAATACTGACCGACCTGGCCAATGCACCATTTTCTCTATACATGTGCATTGAATACATTTCAAACCTTTTTAGCTGACTAGATTTATATATTTCCCACCTTCTCATCAAGTGAGACCGTTAGATTCCCTCTACTTTTTGAGAAACGAGCGTTTCCATTCTCCCTGGCCCCACCTGCACTATGAGTGCGAAATGCCGGCCAGACTAGCCAATGCACCATTTTCTCTACACATGTGCGTTAGTTACCTTTCAAACCCTTACGTTCACTAGATGAATATATTTCCTACCTTATATTTGAGTGAGACCACTAGATTCCGTGTATTATGCGAGATCTGAGCGGTTCCGTTCTCCCATGCATTTGCACTCTAAGTTCCCATACTGACCGACCTGGCCGATGCACCACTTTCCATATACATATGCATTACATTCCTTCCGAACCTTATTAGCTCACTAGATTTATATATTTCCCACCTTCTGATCGAGTGAGACCGCTAGATTCCCTTTACTTTTTGAGAAATGAGCGTTTCCGTTCTCCTTGGCCCTACTTGCACTATAAGTGCGAAATGCCGGCCAGACTGGCCGATGCACCATTTTCTCTACACATGTGCGTTAGTTACCTTTCACACCATTACGTTCACTAGATGAATTTATTTCCTACCTTCTTTTTGAGTGAGACCACTAGATTCCGTGTACTATGCGAGATCTGAACGCTTTAGTTCTCCCTGGCATTTGCACTCTAAGTTCCCATACTGACCAACCTGGCCAATGCACCATTTTCCATATACATATGCATTAGATTCCTTTCAAACCTTATTAGCTCACTAGATTTATATATTTCCCACCTTCTGATCCAGTGATACCGCTAGATTCCCTCTACTTTTTGAGAAATGAGCGTTTCCGTTCTCCTTGGCCCTAGTTGCACTATAAGTGCGAAATGCCGGCCAGACTGGCCGATGCACCATTTTCTCTACACATGTGCGTTAGTTACCTTTCAAACCCTTACGTTCACTAGATGAATATATTTCCTACTTTCTATTTGAGTGAGACCACTTGATTCCGTGTACTATGCGAGATGTGAGCGCTTCCGTTCTCCCTGGCATTTGCATTCTAAGTTCCGATACAGACCGACCTGGCCAATGCACCATATTCTCTATACATGTGCGTTGAGTACATTTCAAACCTTTTTAGCTGACTAGATTTATATATTTCCCACCTTCTGATCGAATGAGACCATTAGATTCCCTCTACTTTTTGAGAAACGAGCGTTTCCGTTCTCTCTGGCCCCACCTGCACTATGAGTGCCAAATGCCGGCCAGACTGGCCGATGCACCATTTTCTCTTCACATGTGCGTTAGTTACCTTTCAAACCCTTACGTTCACTAGATGAATATATTTCCTACCTTATATTTGAGTGAGACCACTAGATTCCGTGCATTATGCGAGATCTGAGCGGTTCCGTTCTCCAAGGCATTTGCACTCTAAGTTCCCATACTGACCGACCTGGCCAATGCACCACTTTCCATATACATATGCATTAGATTCCTTCCGAACCTTATTAGCTGACTAGATTTATATATTTCCCACCTTCTGATCGAGTGAGACCGCTAGATTCCCTTTACTTTTTGAGAAATGAGCGTTTCCATTCTCCTTGGCCCTACTTGCACTATAAGTGCGAAATG